TATTGCTATAAAAAACTACAACACTTGCTTACAGCAGACCAGGACAAGGAAATGTAAATATTCAAAAGCAGTTCAATAAAAAGATCTATTGTTCTAACTAATAGATTCAGTGGGAGTAACAAATGGCTATACGATTTAGTCTTTGGGCTCTGAAGAAAAGTTTAACCTTTCGCTTCAAACTGTGAAAGTTTCACATATTTTACAACAAAGAATGTGAGAAATGTGTGGGCGTAATGCAACAAAAAACTCTGGGTTATATTTCACCACATGGCGCACGTGGCACAAACCACTGACTCACCAGGAAGCTGGATGGAGCATTTTTCAATTTTTCAGTCGTGTATATGTAGAAACTTGCAGCACCTTATTATAATGGTCACGGTAAATTATGTACATAAGTCCTCCTGACCCTCCAGGTGTTTTACAATGGATGTTCTTGGAGCGTTTCAGGTTGTGGGGGGGAAAGGGGGTTGGTGCGATTGGGAGACGGTGCAAGAATTTTTTTTTTCTTTAGGGGTGAGGAGTGGGGGGTGTCTGTCCCGTTTCTTCAGTTGCATCATGCTTACAGTACCTTACATGTCTCCTCTTCACACTTCACGGTAACAGATCTGCCTCTTCCAGCTATTCCCAGGATGTACACTACATCTTCATAATAATGGATTTTGCATTACGCTGCATGTGTGTCTTTTCCCGTAGTTGCTCTTTAAGACTAAATGGGTTGCTTTCCCCCCCCCTAAAGCTTTCAATGACATTTTATGATTAAAACAAGGCATTACAAATGTTTAGTAGTGTCCTCTTAGCTTTCATCTTTTTTTATTTTCCTTTGTGAAACGAGCATTTTGTACCCCTTTTCAATCACCAGCCCAGAGAGATGACCCTCATGTGGACAGTTAATGAAACTGACCGCCCCAAGATTCATCAATAAACCCATAAACACCAGCCTTCTTGATGTTTATTCATAGCAGAGGGAAGCATCATTCAAGGTAGACGGACAACAGTATGGCTGGCGTCCCTTTTTTTGATAAATGTCACGGTCATGGGGAACGTCTGTGTTTACAAGAGTGAGATCATCCTCAGAAGGTGACATTTCATAGTATGGTGCCATCATAAAAAAATGCTGGTTGATTAAAACGAGGCAGTTAGTCTCACACCTTCTTCCACTGAGGGATTATTTGACATGTGACAGCGTTTAACAGCTCTATCAGCTTCTGTTTAGACCAGTATATGTGCCTAATCAAAGAAACCAACCTCTGCAAAATAGTTCAATCAGCAGCAGCACATGTGACTTCTCCTTTTCTAATAACACTCAGGAGGTGTTCAGCTAACATCAATTGTGTTTCTGTTAAGTAATCACATCCATGTAAGTTTGTTCTCTATCATTTCTCAGTTCTAATCGAATCCCTAAACACAATCCAACATGCCTCCTTGATGTAATTCAGCTATTTTTTGGTGTTAAATGTAGTTACTGTGCCCTCTAGAGGTGCATTAACTACATCACAAAAATAAACCTTTTTTAACTGATGTTCCAAAAAGGTTTTCATCCCTGTTGATTGCTATAGTAAGTTTTGAAGGAACCTTATCAACTGTGTCTTGTAGAAATACCCCTGCTGTCGCCCAGATGTTGTATCAAAGTGTGTTTCTGTGCACAGATGTCGATGCAGGTGAATGAGAAAACTGTTGTATTAAATCATTTAAGGAATAAAATGTAATGAACGTCTTTAGGCACCGACTGAATCCCCGACCTTCCGAAATATCTCAAACCTGCATCCTTTCATTTTGTCACCCAGCACCCGGCGTTTGATCTCTGCCAGTTTCATTGTCGGATCTTGAGTGATTCCGCTGGCGCATCCAGCTGGGTCACCATAATGATGAGAGCTGACATCACAGATATGAAGGCTTCCTTTCATGCCACGAGATGACTACGGCTTGTGAAACTTACATGCCATGACACATTTTCTAATAAGACGTGAGCGAATTCTGGTGAATTCTGTTGCAACTAAAGTTAAATGACAGGAGAGTTAGGGCTGGAACGGACTTGATTAGGAAACAGATGTTATATTCTGTGTTATGTTGTATGTGTAATATGTTCTGTATGGCTCCGTTTCTGAGCGCCGCTTGCTGAGGCGGCTTTCTTACATGAAATTTTTAAGATAATAAATTAAAAAGACCGTTAAAAAAAAAAAAAGATGTCATCCTTCAGTTGTTATGTAGCCTGTTCCCCTATTACAGCTACAATGTACTTTAAGGCCATCAGAAAAAGAGGAACCTCCATTTTCCAGATATAGATCCACCCATAATCTAACTGACATCAGCAGTTGTGATGTGCCTTGAGAGTTAAATATGCTTATAATAGGTCATGTTCTTGCTAAATATAGAGATGGGTGCATGCAATAGGTCAAGAGGTTTTCAAGAGTGTGAGACTGCAATACTAATTATGAACAAAGCTACAACGCTCAAGATTTTACAGAACAGTAAAAAATAGAAAAGACAAAGTAGATAGATGGACATTTACTGTGTGTGTGTGTGTGTGTTTATGTTTTATATATATATATATATATTTATATGTATGTACATAGTGTGTGATTTGCATCTGGGTTTTTTCCAGCTCAAACTGTTTTTCAAATTGGTTAAGACGTTTAACTGAAATAGTTTGACCACAAACGAAAACGCGTGAACTACACTGTTTCATCAGAACTAACCAAAGTACCTCTTTTAATTTAACACTTTGATGTCTTGAGACATCGGCAGAGCACCGGCGGTAACTAATAATACCGTAGAAAAGAGGAAGCTGGTTGACCAGTCATGGTTGTCGCACACCCAACAGCACAACTTCCTGCTTCCTTCTCTCTGTGTGTCTTTGCGGTTTTGACAGAAAGGCAGAGCGAGATAGAGACAGAGAGAGCGAGAGCTGGCATATTGGACGGGAAACATTTTTGACAGTCACTAAAAAAAAAGTGACAAGTTGCAACCGACGGCAGCAGAGAGCAGAGAAATGGAGCCGCAAGAGATCAGAGAGGGATACTTGGTGAAAAAGGTAAGAATATGGATATACTGTCCACCTTGTGGTATTTATAGAGGCTGAACTTCTTATACAGTCTAACTTATAACAATAAAACAAAACTTATCACCGTCAGCTGCATGATATTGTGAATTGGAGGTTCGAGGTTTGACGTTGTAGGATCATGCTTTATATAAACTGTCACATTACAGACAAAATGCTAACTTCTAATTAAAAGCATAGCAAGTTTAAGTCACTGAATAAACGAGCATATCATAAAACAAACAGCACTGTTGTCCTACATCAAACCAGCACGTAGAGGAACAGCCGTGCACGTCACTCGAAAGTTGCTCCACAACACACGACTACAAACTTCTGTTCTACGGTTGCAACAGAAACTCAAGTTCCTACTTCTGCTCAGAGCAATAAAACATGCAATGCGTGTCGACTTATTCAGCAGACAAACTGATTTTCAACTTTGAGAGAGAGTCTAAGAACGGCGTGACCTGAAACACACACAGTCCCTTTGCAACATGACATGAACATTTCGTGAAATCCGGTGAAAAAAAACAGAACTTAACAAGTTCCAACAGCCGGGATCAAACATCTTAGTGGTGCGTGGGCGCAAAGTTCACAACTAAGTTCCTGTATGCAATTTAATTTTTATTCATGCGTTCACCCATGCACACACCTTTTGTTTCAGACTGAGCGAGGTGTGACTTTATGCCTTTCACACACCGAGCGTGCCAATCAAAGCCACATTTATGAACTACAGTTTAACTGAATTTCTGTTCCATACTCAGTTTGCATGACTTTATTATCCTTTGTATACTGAATGTTCTTCTTTTTTTCTTCTTCTTCTTATTGTAAAGCACTTAAACTCTGCATAAACGTGCTTGACAGTAACTAAATCATTATTGATTGCCTTCATTTTGTTGGATGATGATTGATGTATCCTGGCTGAAGTGTTTTATCCTGTGGAAAATGGGATGACAGTGTGGTTGCTATAAATAGCCACATCTGTGCCTAATGGTCACACCTGAAGATGACTAAGGCATGGTCATAAAACTTCCCTCCTCATAGACAAAGAGTATTATGCAAAGACGTGATTAATGGGGAGGTTATGTACATTCTTTGATTTACTAAGAGAGTGCCAATAAAAATGAAAGGAAATGTAGCACTCAGGGTAAAAAGTGGGTCAAAGAAGAAACCATCAAGGTCTAGCATTAAATCATCTGGCTCTGGAAAAAAAAACAGATGGCTGAGCATCAAAAACCTCTTCCGTTGACTGTTTACTTCTATAAATAGACAAACAAAAACCAACAACGGTGTTTCAGTTTTAAACATCCGCATGTTCATCATTATAGACGTATAAGGATAATCTATACTGTTCCTGTAGTCTGAAGTCATCGTATTCTATTCATAGGTATTGCCTGTGTAGCTGAAACCTGATATTATGTAATTTATCATGACATCAATGTGCCGAACTGCTACAGTTAGTGGTACACGTATTGAAAATGAAACTATATATTTCTAAAAACACTTTTTTTCCCTTTTTTTTTTTTCAATGAAAACGGAACTTGCAGCAAACCACAAACTAGAATTTAGCAAAGAGGTGGTACTGCTGAGCAACACATGTGTTGGTTTGGCTTTTCATGAGATTTTCTTTAAACTAAGCAAAATCCCAGTGAGTGTCCACACTTGTACAATATTTGTTTTAAACATACTGATCAGTGGCGGCTGGTTAAAGGTTTTGGTGGGGGAGGTACGGTCTGCAGATGACCTTTTATTTTTAACCAGAAATTAGAATATGAGTAACATCAGGCACAGGAATGAAACTGTTCTACCTTTGGAGCATATTCTAATCATAATCTAATTTAACATTATTAAGACTGACCATAACTAAATTTCAAAATCATTCATCAAACTTTCATCAATATTTACAGGATCTGTACAAATTCAAAACACACAACATCCATCCATCCATTATCTATACACCGCTTAATCCTCAGTAGGGTCGTGGGGGGGCTGGAGTCTATCCCAGCTGACTCAGTGTGAAGGCAGGAGACACCCTGGACAGGTCACCAGTCTATCACAGAGCTACACTTAGAGACAGACAACCAAGCGCACTCACATTCACACTGACGGACAATTTAGAATCACCAATTAACCTCAACATGTTTTTGGCCTGTGGGAGGATGCTGGGTTCTCCGGCTTCCTCCCACAGGGCCACATATTTAATGGAATCAACACTATTCAGGGCTCCAGATTAACTTTTTCACTAGTACCACCACTATGACCCACTTTCTCATTTTCCTCCCACCTGGTCAAAGGCAAAACATATGACTCACTGAACGTCTTCTTAGACGCTACAATTTACTTATGCTCCCTGAATGCCCCACATAGCAGGCTGTGGTAGCTGCTGCTGGGTGGCTGTGGTGTGCTCTGACAGGTGTGCGACCAAAAATGACTTTAAAAATAATAAACTAGGGCGTTCTAACGTCAGATTTGTCTGAGATGAAACCCAGTTACATGTATTCTACAGGCTGTCTTTCCTATGAGTAGAAAAACAGCAACAATTTCCCTGAGCTACCCTACCAAAGGGATCAAAAAGTTATATCTAATCTAATCTGATCTAATCTAAATGCAGGTGCGCTCCGTTTTTCACGAGAATATCTTATCTTTAAGCGTAACTACTGCGGTACACCGAAGTCATAAAACTTCTACTTTCCACCACTGTGGTTATCACAGCAGCCTCCTGTGCCAGTTACAGCAACACTAATACAGCTTCATGATCATCATGCTCATCAATTCACACACTCTCAAAAAAAAAAGGTCACAAATGCAGTCTGGAGCTATTTGAACAAAAAATCGGCTCTTCTCACTTTCTGCTCTGCAAACTTCTCTATTACTTTTCGGTNTATTATTATCCATCCATCCATTATCTATACACCGCTTAATCCTCACTAGGGTCGCGGGGGGGGAGCTGACTTTGGGCAAAGGCAGGGGACACCCTGGACAGGTCACCAGTCTATCACAGGGCTACACTTAGAGACAGACAACCAAGCACACTCACATTCACACTGACGGACAATTTAGAATCACCAATGAACCTCAACATGTTTTTGTCCTGTGGGAGGATGCTGGGTTCTCCGGCTTCCTCCCACAGGGCCACATATTTATTGAAAACAACACTATTCAGGGCTCCAGATTAACTTTTTCACTAGTACCACCACTACGACCCATTTTCTCATTTTCCTCCCACCCGCTCAAAGGCAAAACGTATGACTCACTGAACGTCTTCTTAGACGCCACAATTTGCTGATGCTCCCTGAACGCCCCACATAGCAGGCTGTGGTAGCTGCTGCTGGGTGGCTGTGGTGTGCTCTGACAGGTGTGTGACCAAAAATGACTTTAAAAATAATAAACTAGGGCGTTCTAACGTCAGATTTGTCTGAGATGAAACCCAGTTACATGTATTCTACATGCTGTCTTTCCTATGAGTCGAAAAACTGCAACAATTTCCCTGAGCTACCCTACCAAAGGGATCAATAAAGTTATATCTAATCTAATCTGATCTAATCTAAATGCAGGTGCGCTCTGTTTTTCACGAGAATATCTTATCTTTAAGCGTTACTACTGCGGTACACCGAAGTCATAAAAGTTCTACTTTCCACCACCGTGGTTATCACAGCAGCCTCCTGTGCCAGTTACAGCAACACTAATACAGCTTCATGATCGTCATGCTCATCAATTCACACACTCTCAAAAAAAAAGGTCACAAATGCAGTCTGGAGCTATTTGAACAAAAAATCGGCTCTTCTCACTTTCTGCTCTGCAAACTTCTCTATTACTTTTCGGTTGAAGTCACTCGTCTCTGTGAGCAGCCTTTTCTCCATTAGCAGCATGGCCGGCGCATTAAGCCGTCACGATAGTAGTTGTCATCTAGTAGAAGAGGAGGGGAAAGGCC